TTTTAATATAAAGACAAGTTCTACATGAATGGGGATAGAATAAAAATATTAATAGGTATCTTTAATTGATTTATTTACTGACACCTTGGGCCTGGTCTATTGTATTCTCACCTGAGTTTGAACTTTGAAGGGCTTGATTTGGCTACAGCCCAATTTGAGTAAAAAAAAAGGGTTGGGCCTTAATAGCCCACTCTTGACCTTGGAATGCAGTCTACCTACTACAGATGGCCCAAATCAAGGGTAAATCTGTCACTTCGTAAACGTGAGTCCACATTTTTCAACTTAGAAAGTTGAAAACTCGAAGGCGGTTTCTTTGGGGGATGGCCCACCAAATAACAGAACCCAACTTGCCAAAATCACCACGGAGTTGCATTTATTTACAACAAAAACCTCTCTACCCTTCCCGTAAATTCACTCAACTCTCGAGGCAGACATGTCATTGAACAACCCTTCTGTTGCGCCGCACCAGGAACCCGGGTCAACCAGAGTCAAGAAACGGCAGCGTTTGGACTTTAATCGAAGCAAAAGCAGGGACACGAAGGTCATTTTCTGAAAAGAATCCGAAAGATTTGCCCTCCGATAATAAAATCCAATTTCCCTCACTTTGCCCATCTTGCAGTTAGGCAGGTAAAGAGCATTACAATTCTTTTCTGGAGAGAGAAAGAAACCGCCGGAAAACCCAACCAACCGATACGGTAGGACGACGGCGATGATGGAGGAAGATAAAGGAAGTAGCCACAAGGAGTCTCCGGGTGAAGGCGGTGACTTGGAGCTCGGTGGTGTGGAGTCGGAACTCTGTGGGAGTGGCGGCGGTGGGGCTAGTGTTGGCGCTGGTACGAGTAATAGTAGAGTGAGGGGACCATGGTCACCGGAGGAGGACGCGGTGCTGAGTCAACTGGTCGCCAAGTTTGGGGCGAGGAATTGGAGCCTGATCGCCCGAGGAATTCCGGGTCGTTCTGGGAAATCTTGTCGCCTTCGATGGTGTAACCAGCTAGACCCCTGCCTCAAGCGCAAGCCTTTTTCTGGTAAAAGTTTCAATCTTTACATGTATGTGCGTATTTGTCTTTGGTAGTTTGTGGTGGGTATTTGAAGTTTTGGGCTTTCTGTGTGATGATCTTTTAGAAGAGGGTAGTTGTGTTTCTGGCTTTTTATCTTGTTGCGGTACTTTGATTGTTTACTTCAAAGGACTGTATTGGATTGATTAATGTAATGAGGTCTCTCTCTTCGGATCAGTTGTGCTTTTGCCAGTTTTGATTGCTTAGGTTTTGGAATTGAGTTGTTTTTGAATTATTTCTGTGTCGGGTATCAGTTGATTTTGGTAAATGCTGCTGAGGATTAAGGTGTTCTTTGTTTGGATCAGTTGTGCTTTTGCCGGGTTTGATTGCTTGGATTTTTGGAGTGGGTACTGGGTAGTCTGTGGTGGTTGTCTTGATTTAGTTAGGAGGTTCTTTTTTATGCATTGCATTGTTTGGAATTGTTACATTTTGGTGAACTATACATATAATAGTTCCATGGGCAATCCCTATTTTCTTGAGGCTGGGTATATTTTAACTTTGATGTCTACTGCTTAGCTTAATTATGAAGACAAGTATTAGTTAATGAACAAATTAAAGTAGTTGATGTATGGTATGCATGTATGTAGAGAGCACTCATCAAAATGTTGACATATTACTTCCATTCATATAATTATGACTAGTAAAAATGGCTTTAGAAGCGTATTGAAGCTGTGAATGGGCAAGATAGCAAAATAGGTGATGATGGACTTACAATTTCATTTTGTCTACCTTGTGTTTTTTTTTTTTAATAACATTGGTTATGCGGACCTTTGGCCCAATTAGTCCCAAAGATACCCACAAGCCATTCTGTCCACTGTACGGTACTAGGCTAAGCTCCACCCAAGGGTGGCTAGTGTGGCCATTTAAATGGCAATGGAGGGATTTGAACTTGCATTCTAGCAGAGTTCAAATAATTCTTTGCCACTTAGGCCAACCCTGACAGGTTATTTTTGTCTTCTGTTTTGATTCAGTATAACAGGATCTACATCTCTGATGGGAGTTTTAATTGTTTTGGAACAGAAGTTTTATCCGTAGCATCATTGCAAAGCTGATATAAGTTCATTAAAGGAGCCCTAGAAGTAGTTTCATTCATTTAAGTTTTAGTTTGGGTGTTTTATGAATCACCTGTGACAAATTGGTGCTTCTGAAATCATATTTGACTTAGTTGAATGAATAGTTACGATGATGTTCTTATTTTCTGTGTTTGTGTTGGAAATAAGGATGATTTTGATCAAGGATGAACTAGCATTAATTTTTGCATTATGTCTTTCTGGAGTTGCAGTCTGACATGAGCCAGAAATTATTATCTCCGTTTGCTGTTATGTTGATGTCAGGAATCAATATTTAATAGATGTGCCTTCATTTGTCTTTTCCATCTTTTCTCCGTTTGTCCATTTGCCTTCTTTTAAGATGTACAAATCAAATGTAGAAAATAACTCAAACTTTCCCTTTTTTAGTTAGCTATTGGTTTCAACCTTGTAGCTTAATCACTAGGCAAATGGGTTTTTGCTCACATCTGATCTAAATCAAGCTTACATTTCACCCTTATGAACTCACTCTCTTAAATTGTGCAATGTAAACCTTCAGATGAAGAGGATCGTATCATAATTTCAGCACATGCTGTCCACGGGAACAAATGGGCTGCAATTGCGAAACTCCTGCCAGGCAGAACAGATAACGCAATTAAGAACCATTGGAATTCTACGCTAAGACGAAGATGCATGGATCTAAGTAGGCCTAAACCAGGACCTGTTGACATGATGGAAGATGGAAGTCTTGAGAGGACAAAAGCATCCTCAGAAGAAACAATGTCAGTTGGAGATATCAATTCTTTCAAGCCCCCTGAAGGAATGGATGTAATGGTGGATGATAGACCACACCAGCATGAAGATAAAGCTAAAACCAAAGAGGTTCAATTTGCCATTGAACCCATGGAGCAGCCTACGATTTGTCGCCCAGTTCCACGTGTCAGTGCATTCAATATTTATGGCCCTGCAAGTGGCCCCAGAAGCGAATCTGGGATGCCAAGGACAGTACCTACTCAAGGGCCTCTTCTTCATGCTCCCTGGCCAGACTCTGGAGTCAGCAAATTACTCGAAGATCTTCATGGTGAACCTATGGTTCCTCTGCGATGTGGGTTTGGTTGCTGCTCATCTCCTAGTGGGAGCCATTCTCAAAGATCATTGCTGGGGCCTGAATTTGTTGAATATGAAGAATCCCCGGCTTTCTCAAGTCATGAATTGATTTCAATAGCTACCGATTTGAACAATATTGCCTGGATCAAGAGTGGCCTTGAAAATGGCAGCATTGGAGCTCCAAGCACTGCAATGGATCATAGAACGTCTCATGGGACTGCTTCAGGCTCACAGGTGGGAATACCAGATCCCTGTAAAAAAAATGATCATATGCGTTTCGAGGATGGACGGAACAAACTGATGGGCATGATGGCAGAAGTTCTACCAAGTCAGATGTCTAGACAAACATTTGGAGTGAGAGCTGAAGTAGAGGGTTTGAGCTAAAGCTGATACCAATTTTTATTCCTTTTTGCTGGATTTCATAAAAGGGAATATAGGTGAGTTTTCTGTTTGATTGTGTAAGACCCCTATTTGATTTTATGAAGAGTTTGCTTGTCACTTGATTATGACTCTCCTCTGTTTTATCTAGTTTGCTTTTAGGTTCATACTGCAAAAAGGTGGAAGGCTAATAAGATTATGTAAGAAAACATGGTGTCTACACTAAAAGCCATCTTCTCAAAGAACGACTCCCACTCTATCAATTACCATACTTCTTCCTCTGGCTCTTTTGACCAAGATTACATTTGGGATTTTTTTTTTTTCAAAGCGCACTTTTTTTAATCAAACATTAACATGATTTTTATGATAGTGGAATACAGCGAAATAAACGATCAAAACACCGTATAAGAGTTTCGAACAGCTACAAACATTATAATCTTGGAAATAAAATCAGTTGTGGTATTATGGACTGATGATTTCTTTTTCCATTTCCATTCTTTTCTTTGTTAGCTTTTTATCCAAAGTCGTCGTTATAAAGATTAGATAAAGTTTGACAAAGAAGAATACAAGAATATTTACATTAATTGGTTATCTGAGTAAGGTCATAATCAAAGAAGAGATGCACTAATCCCTGTACCAAAAAAGGAAGTATTATCTCACAAAAAAAAAAAAAAAGAAGAAACACTAACTCTGCACCTCGACATTAAAATGACCATCCACCCTGAGCTGATGTGACATTTCAAGTCCTTAACTATTTCTTTCGAGTTCGACCTTCTGCAGCGACACAAGAGACACCGGAAAATGAAAATCAAAGACACCTTGTTAAAAGTTCTACTCGCTCAGAGGCCTGACTAACTTCTGTACGAGAGCTGAAAATGGAGGGTTCAAGCTAAAACTTATGTTAGTCTGATTTTTTGATGGTGGTACAAACATGGTACCCTGCCGAAGTAATCTTGGTTCCATTATTCACTTTGTTAAATGAAAATACTGCATTGGCCTTCCCCTCCTGTAATTTGTTCCCGAACGAGAAAAAAAAGAAGAAGAAGAAGGAAAAAAAAAGAAGAAAGCAGTAAAGTTATCGGCCTTGCGTCGGAAAGGCCTCTGCAGCTCTGCTTCTTCTTTTCCATTTGTCATGTTGCAAGACCAAGTTGGCCCCTCCTCTGTCAGCCTTCACATTACCTATTTGACCAAAACCTTTGTAACTTATGCCACTACCTAATCGGCATGCGGTAAAATCCAGTTTACTCAAATCATTTTCAATTATAAAACACATGCTGATCCTAAAACCCTTTATTTTTTTATGTACTTGGGAAGTCTAGATTTTTCCAATATCAGGGACAATCTTGACCATCCACAACCAAAAACCTGGGCTATCCTGTATCTCTATGACGTTATTTAAACCAGCAGCATCACAAAAAGGCAAGTGAGCCAAGACAAAGAGAAATCTGCTTCAGACAGAACAATTTCCTGCTGTCTCAGGACACAATAACAGCTAATTTTGTTCAATTCAATCAAAATCATTGTCCAAATTCTACTTTCCTCATCTTGCTCCTCTCTGAAGCAAAAGACTCTTCACCCTTTCTCACTCCCTGAGTTTGTATAATAGAGTATGTGATTTTTTTTTTCTCCATTAGATCTTTCTGAGTGTCTCTTTCTTCCAAGTCCTGTCTATAACTGACACCCGAGAGGAAAGAGGGGCACGCAGAGACCCACTACCACACTAGAACAGTACCGGTTGTTCCACATCGAGGAAAATCACATGACTTCCGTTGCAAACCAGAGGTTTGAGAGCTAACATAGAGTTAACCTCAAGCTTTTGGCTGGCATTAATGATTGCTGCCTCGAGGAAAAATTACATGAAGATTCTTTATCAGGGTCTCAAAAATGGCAGCTTTGCAGAAACCCCATGTTGTTGTTCTTGATGTGGAGGAGGATGAACAAGAAAACCGGGAGGAGCAGCAAAGGAGCTCCTCTTCAAGTGATGAATCTAGGACAGAGATCAAGGAGAGGGGATCTTCTGTGTCCGAGAGGTCTGTGGAGGTGGATCTGGAGAGTGGGGTGGTGGAGGCTAAGGTAAATTTGGCAAAAGTTGAGAGGGATTGTAGGATTTGCCATCT